TAATCCAAAACAACTGTTTGATAAATACTCGGTAGAAATATGTAACTCAGATAAATTGCTGCTAATCGGTTTTCCACGTTTCTTATTTTACTTTTTTTCTCCGTATCTATAAACAATGTTTTATATTCAAGAAATATTACTTTATACATTAATTATTTAGAATTTAAATTTTTCATTTCCAAAGATTCAAACTACAATGATCCTGGGATCAATAATAATTATACTTCTAAAAGTACTTTGTCATCCTCAGGGAATCAAACAAAGAGTTGTAGTACAACACCATATCGACAAAAACAATCCAATTCTCCATTGAAAGCGAAATCAAATTTTCAACAATCCCCACAAAAGCAAAAATACTCAATATCTAATGGATCTGTAATAGATTCATATGAAAAAAGAGTATATCCAGTAACAGAATCAAATAAAGTCAATTCAGTGTTTAAAGACAGTCAAAATTGTCAACGTTTTGGCCGTGCAAATAAAGCAAAATTATCAAATAATGATAATAATAGTCATCTATTAGATGAAAATTTAGTTAAACGCCTTCACAATATGTCCACTACATCCTCATCTTCACAAAATAGCAATAATAAATACTGATATTAATGTACTAAATCACAACTTCAAAATAATCTTTATGATAGATTTACTGAGACAAGAATGTGTGTACTGGATTTTCTTTACATCTAATTGGATATTTTATTCAATTAACATGTATTTTTTATTTTGATTTTATGGATCTTATTTAATTTACTGGGAGACGAGGTGTGGGATAGGTTTTTTAGTGGCCATATTATGTTTAGTATTGTGTCGAGTATCTTCGGGAAAATACTACTGATATGGGAGCGAAAATAGCGCGATTAGATCAATCGGTCGTTTAACATAGAATGATAATTCAGCTTTGACACAAACACACGCAGTCGGAGAAAATAAGACTAGGATTTACTAGAGAGCTCTTATTTTACGAGGTGAAGTGATCTAATAGACAGACATACTACTACCATGACATTGAAAGATCTGGATTACAGTAGTTTGTTTAAAAAGAATATCAATTACGAGTAGCGAATTGGTAGGAAAACTCTTCTAGGGCTACTGCTGGTCACAAGCCCGGGTAAAAGGGAAGGTTGCGCATGGCGTCACCATCCCTATGGAGTGTTCTCACGATGTTAGACCAAAAATGAGGAGATACAACTTGGGGGTTCTCGGAATCTGCGAAACCTAGACTAGACAGCTAAGATACGGGAGATATACTGCAGTACTCCGGTCACGAAAAGAAAAATGCACCACACACTTAGAGACAGATGCTCTGACGCTGTCCAAAGAAGCATGAAATGCACTTATAGAATGGGGATTTAGTAAATCCAGAATGATCAAAGCATCGTTCAAAACAAATAAGGAGGGGATTACACTGAATACTATCCAATGTTATGCACCTAGCAATGAAGGCAATAAAGATCAGTTTTACGAGAGGCTGCAATCGATCTTAGCGAAGTGCTCAGAAAAGAACTTGACAAATAAATGACATAACGAAGAAACTAGTATGGGAATATAGTAGACTAGAGAGACCAGTCAAGTAAAAAGAAGGCAAGCCAATTACCGAGACTCAACAAAGGAACAGATGGGTAGAATACTGTGAGAAACTTTTGAATTCAATCCACTGGACATCGAAGCAGCACGTACAGACCTCCCGACAGATGTCACTCCGCTAACAGTCGAAGAAATCAAGGTGACCATCAGACAAAGCAAGAGTAGTTAAGCAGCAACACCTGACAATATACCAGCTGGAGCACTGGTCAGGCATAGAAGTAATCGTAATCATGTTCCACTTTCTACTCAAGAATATTTTAGAGGAAGACCAAATGCCGACTGACTGTTAAGAACACCTCGTCAAAGAAAGGGGATCTGAGAAAATGTGAAAACTACAGAGGCATCACACTAATATCTGAACCAGGAAACGTTTACAGCATAGTGCTGCTGAACCGAATGAAGGATTCGGTGGGTACCCAACTTCCAGATCAACAGTCCGGATTCCGTAAGAATCTGTTGTGTATCAACCTAGTTGCGACACTACGAATCACCGTTGAACAACCAATTGAATGGACCTCGTAGCTATAAATCAACGTCCTTGACTATGAAAAGGTGTTTAACAGTGTGGAACCTTATGGGACTTCCTTCAACATTATGGTGTGAGTGGTTGAGAAGATCAACAACATACAGAATTCATAAGACGGACTAAATTACAAAGTCCCTTTCTCTTCCTTCTGGTAGTTGACTGGATTATGAAGACCTCGACATCTGAGGGAAGCACAGAATACAATGGACAGCTTGGATGCGACTAGACGATTTGAACTTCTCAAATGACCTGGTCCTTCTATCCCATACACACGAACAAATGCAGGTCAAGACAACCAGTGTAGCAGCAGTGAGCCTCAACACATACTAGAGAAAAGGCGAGATCCTCGATTACAACACGCAGAACATCAACCAAACCAATCAAACTTGATGGAGAAACCTTGGAAGAATAGTAAACTTCCTCGTGCTCAACTGTTCAGCACCATCGGTGAACAAGGATGACCGGATGCAGACGTAAAGGCGAGGATTGGAAAAACAAGTGTAGCATTCTTTAATTGAAGGATGGAACTCAAAACAACTGTCAACTAATACGAAAGTGAGAATCTTCTGTAGGAACATCAAGACAGTTCTACTGTAGGAAGTTGGGACTTGGAGAACTCCAACTATCATCAAAATGGTACAAGTCTTTATAAAAACAGTTGTCTACGCAAGATATACAATGTACGTTGGCAGGATAACATCAGCAGCAGCTTACTGTGAGAGAGAACAAATCAACTTCCACTTAAAGAGGAAACTAGGAAAAGACGCTGGAGGTGGTACGTGGGACATACATTGCGAAAATCATCAAACTGCATCACAAGGCAAGTGCTGAAGGGAATCGAAAGAGCGAAAGCCGAAGCAACACATTGCGTCGAGAATTGGAAGTAGACATTAAAAGGATGAATGGCAACCGGAAAGAATTGCTCAGAGTCGAGTTTTTTTTATTGTTCATCCATTGATTGGTTGAGTGTTAGCCACATTAGTTGTTGCGTCTTGAAAAACTGATATTTGGTGTGACTGATCGAATCTACACTATGTAGAAATTTCTGTCGTCTGGTACACACCAAGTGTACCTCATTGTATAAGAGGTTAAGCATTCTCATGCAAGTCCTGGGTTCGATTCTTAATCGCGGGTTCGTGAATGCGCACTTCTGAGGAGACGGCGCTTCCAAGCTTTCAGTGTTTGGTTGATTTTGGTCGACTGATGTTTTAACCCAACAAATTGATCATTTGGGGTAGCTGGGGCTTGAAGGGAATGTACTACTGTTGTTTGTGGTATAGACGTTTTAGTTAGAGTATCGCTACCATTCCGTTTCCGTAACACAAAAATAATCGATTTTTATGACATTTCACATTGTACCTGTACTTTGCAGAAACGTGAATCGGAGGAGTACCATGAGAGCATTTCGATAATTATTTTTAGCCCAGGAGGATGTAACCGATTTATTTCTTTATTGGCGGAAACCATAGATTTGTAATAGTTCTCTATCAGTAAACAGACAACTGGGTGAATGTTTCGCATGAGATAACATTTTATTTACAAAATGTGTATGTGTGTGAAAAATTTAGAGAACACAAAATAAATCCACTTCATACTAAATTGTTCCTTGCTTTTGCTTCACAGCAATTTATCAGAGAGATTCGTTGTATATGATCATAACACTTGATCTCAGATTAGTTGTTTTGCTCACTGGTATATAGGCTTTCCGTGAATTGTCGTAAATCACTGCTGAAAAGGCTATGTTAATGAGATTAATTGTCGACAATGGCATTTGCAGATAGATCGTATGGAAAAGTTATCATTTTATCAAGTAAGGAGGGAAATCTATTGCCTTGTTTTTGGAGATATTTATGTATTAAGTACCACCTTGATAGATTTGAACTGTCCGACTTCCTGCGTTACGTCGGAAAGGTTATGACAAAGTAACTGGCTTAGATGCACTTTATTCCATGTTATATGGTCAGAAACATATCACTTGTGACTGATGAACGGGTTCCATTTACACGGAGAACGTGAGTTCTCACCTTACTGATTGATGTTAATTAGTTCTAAACACAAAACATTATTTGACCTAAAGTATAACAACTTTAATTTGATGTTTCAGTGGATAGATTATTAGTCACTGCTAATTGAAAAAGATAAATGCACTTCTTTGGTATCCGTTGTTTCATCATTATTTGTTGTATGGTGGGAGGGACGGTTCATATGCTAGGTGAATCCAGACATATCATGTGGCTGTGTGCACAAACTGAAGGCTAGATAAGAAACATTGAAGATAAGTTATTGGTTGGAACGACTTATGAACGTTAGCAAGACCCTGACATACATCTGGGATATATATAGTCTTCTTACACATGTAGCGGGTTATGATCCTGTAAAAAATGCGTCTAACTTTTGGTAGACCTCAGAGCATAACAGCACTAGAAGCCGGTGTTATTAGATGGGTGTGATACAGTGGAAAAGATCCGTCGTCTGTATGTAGTTTCTTCTTTGATTTTGCATGAGCAATCTAAGATGTCTTGTAAAGTAACAAAATCCACATTGAATGCATACTCTTTGGAAATTTAGCCTTCAAAACTCATTACCGATCTTCGCTCTTCTCTACACGATTATCATTTCCTTTATCGTGGTGTGGCAAAGCCAAACACTTGTACACTAAGAGGGAAAATGCTTTAGAATCATATATTTCTTTTCTTAGTAGTATCCATATAAAGGATAAATTAGCGTTAGAATATTACTACGGTAAGAAGTTAATTATGATTTTTATGGACGTAAAAATTGACAGTTATGAATGACTAAAGAGGACAAATTAAAAACACCAAGAAATTAGAAATGCACAAATGTATTATATAAATAAATTTCTTAAAATTTATAGTGTTGGTTCTGTTTAAGCTCGACGTTTCTTCACCTAGAAGCAAAACAACAAAATGCATACAGCTTTGATTAACATACAAAATTTATAATTGATGAATTACGCTTAATAGAAAAGAAAAATAGAATTTCAAAATAGTCACATAGGAATTTTTAATATTATTTAGAGTAAATATGATACAGATCGATGAACATTTATGGAAGTGCAGTTTTTTAATCACTGTTGCCTACTTACATAGAACAAGTACTATAATTAAACTCCCTATAACCACTTTTTCATGGGTTAAGCTGTAAGGATTATGACAAGAAGTAATGAAACAGAAAGGATCTGTAAGAGGTAATTTGTTAAACAATCGACGGTACACATATACATTCGTATCAAACAATTATTCATCAAAGCAACCACATTCAACTTCCTAGTTTGTGAGAAACCCTAAGTGTTGATGTTATTGATAGTTAGCCACATAAATAGCGGTACAATCAATAAGCTCTGGATTCAAGATTCACTGATTGAAAATTGAGAAACCAAACTGTTAAGTCACAGCTTTAAAGTGTATAAATAGATAGTTATAATTGAGCTTCGCTTGATACAATGAATAAATGAGTTTCTGTTGAGTATTATTTATTGGATGAGAAAACAAACGATAGATGGCTGGGAATAGGACTTTTTCGATTTCCGAGGACAGAAACACGACTGTTTAATAAAACTATTTACCACTTATACATTAAGTCCAATCAATGCTACAAATCCATTTAACAAAAAACTAAAGTAACAACAATTATTTAGATTTTATTGTTTAAACGTCGACTGAAGCTATTTAATAAGCAGATTAAAGTGAGACTGGAAATCAATGATTTTCCGTCTAAACAATTCTAGAAAACATGATATTAACGACTAAAAATCACGACGCCTACAAATTATTAACAACTATTTGAAAGATTAATGAACGATTAGTGAAGGAATTCAAAAATTTCTGAAAATTGACCAGTAAAAGTCAAGTATGTAGTTCTTATTGAAAATTCTTTAGATAAACACTCACAATCCTATCGAAGGCAGCATCAAATAATCCAGCAGCTTGATCTTGGGCTGGATTAACACCTTTGTTATCATATTCACCAGGAGAATTCTTACGCTTCAATCGATGTTGAGGAAAAGATGGCATCATATCAGGTTCGCATGCTGTTATCGATAAATAAGGGAAATTAAGAACATGTTATTTGTTTTTAAAGATTACTGTATCGCTTTAGTTAAATAAATACTACATACCAACTAAATATATTGATAATTGAAATTAAAAATGAAATAAAGATTGTAAATTGTGCTTTAAACCAGTATCGAGTAAAATGGTTTCAAAAAACTTAATGGAACGTATTGAGTTTTAAGTTACGTTTTTATGCAAACTTAATGTAGAAAAGCCATTCCCAGACTGTCCCATTGGCACCAGTTAATAACTATACAGATGTAAACGGTTTATTAAAACTTGTTTTGTCAGAACAAGGCAATAAGACACAATTTTCAAATATATGTTCAAGACGGCTAGTTTTATATGGAGTATCGCAATTTACTAATTACGCACAGATTGGTGGGGGGTGAGATTTGATTTGAGTTTTGTTATTTGTTAACACATGAATACATTTATTAACCTCAACTTGCTGCAAATCATTTATATAATTTTCGTTAACTTCCAATGTGTATAAAAATAAAATACCACGGTTTTGCATCTCAACATTAGGCTTAATGCGAAGCGAATTAAAATAGATGTTCATTAAATTAAAGAAAATATTGATAAAGACATTGCATGGAATAATAATAATAATAATAATAATAATAATAATAATAATAATAATAATAGCTTTATTCAATCACTCACGTAAAGGATGTTCGCGGAAATAAGAACTCTGACAGCACTCACGAGCCCGAGCCCGTTTAGACGGGTCATACATGAACAGAAAGTTTAGTAAACGCAAACCAGCATCTGATAACCATGGGAAAGTATGACGCAAATTATTGTACCTGGAAAACACGAATGAAAAAATTACGTAAATAAAACTTTAAAAATAATTTGCGTACAAATCAAAAGAATAGTAAGTTAAATGAGTTATAGATTGATAACAGAAGAATGAAGCAAAATACGATTTTCATTTATTTAATTCTACCTAAATACTGTGTAGTCTTGTGTTTGGGTTGTGAAGCACACTTGATGTGAAATGTTGAAAATATGATGTCAATAATATTACAGCTTACGAATGAATTAATAATAAACGTTAATCACTACTAGTGAGGTGTAACACCGAATGACGAGACTAGTGATCTATTAAAAGACTTGGCAGCGAACAAACAGATAAATAACAGGAAAACCTATGGCCAAAACTCATCGATCTAAGTGAACATACTACGCAATAATAAAAGGAAATCAATGAGACAGAAAATATATTAAACAACTTTGTGAGTGGATAGGCCATAACATAAACCCAGAATGATATGTTGATTGGGATTTGCATGTATACATTTTCTCTGGTTCTTAATAAAACATGTATTCCGTTTAAGTCTCTGTAATGTAATCGAGGATCTCGCCTTTTCTCTAGTATGTGTTGAGGCTCACTGCTGCTACACTGGTTGTCTTGACCTGCATTTGTTCGTGTGTATGGGATAGAAGGACCAGGTCATTTGAGAAGTTCAAATCGTCTAGTCGCATCCAAGCTGTCCATTGTATTCTGTGCTTCCCTCAGATGTCGAGGTCTTCATAATCCAGTCAACTACCAGAAGGAAGAGAAAGGGACTTTGTAATGTAGTCCGTCTTATGAATTCTGTATGTTGTTGATCTTCTCAACTACTCACACCATAATGTTGAAGGAAGTCCCATAAGGTTCCACACTGTTAAACACCTTTTCATAGTCAAGGACGTTGAGTTATAGCTACGAGGTCCATTCAATTGGTTGTTCAACGGTGATTCGTAGTGTCGCAACTAGGTCGATACACAACAGATTCTTACGGAATCCGGACTGTTGATCTGGAAGTTGGGTACCCACCGAATCCTTCATTCGGTTCAGCAGCACTATGCTGTAAACGTTTCCTGGTTCAGATATTAGTGTGATGCCTCTGTAGTTTTCACATTTTCTCAGATCTCTTTTCTTTGGTATCTTACCGTAGAAAAAATCTTAGCCGAAATATCTATTTTAGTTCTATGATTTTCTACTCTAAGAATTAAGAATGAGGACATCAGATATAGTTGATCGTTAGTTATACAGGGCTTTTAGCAAACGTTACCAGGACCATAAATCAAGTGTTGTAGCTCAATGCCAGTTGCTTACTAAAATGAAAACTCTTATAAGAATATGATGATAAATAAATTGGATTATTAAATGAATATTTAAACCTATCAATTACCATCAAATCACCTTAAAACTAGATTATGATTAGTGGAATTTATAGACGTAACGGTGCCACGACCAGGAAGCTCACACAAAATGAAGAAAGACAAATAAAACGTAACAAGAGATTCTGAACACTTAAGATAACAAATGATCGATAATGCAAACTTACGGTTGCTTTTTCAGATTTATCTTTTCTAATGCTGGTAATTTGGAAAGATTCTAGAGTGAAGACAAGTAAGTGCATAACTTGAACATACCGGCCAAATTTGATCATTCGGAGTGCCCAGTAAATCAATAATTAACTCCAATTGGTGAACCTCTGTCTTCCCAGGAAGAAGTGGTTTGTGTAATAAAAGCTCACCCATAATACAGCCAGCTGACCTGATATTTCAAATTTGGGATGACACAAATTTATTTGAACTAACCATATATCAACAGCTTTAGTCTGGTTTTTATCGCCAAGTAAAATTTCCGGTGCTCGGTACCTACGAGTTAAAAAATTATAGGCAACTGTGAATTCAATAATCATGTATAACTTCAATCCACAGTATACCATATTCGTGGAAACAAGCGAGCAAACACATGGACTTAAAAATATTGAAATCCTGTGTAAGAAAACCATCAAGACACTAGGTAGATTAGATACTATGAGCTCTTATTGACTATAGTGGCTGAGATGTGCAACGCATTCGCAAACTCTGATCATTTCCGTTGTGCTATTCTGGCTAGAGTATGAGCAGTTTAGAAAGACTTAGGGGTATCTAAATCAACAGAGTATTATTACATAGAGTCATTAACTGTTTGACCTATGTCAAAAGATGCAGACTCCCTGATCGTAGTTTTTGAGGCAACTGTTATCGGTGGATGGAAGATGTAGGAAAGATTACCCGATATCAGTCGCAAAGAAATAGATGCAGTCATTTTTAATCCTACTGTGAATTTTAAGCTTTTTAGATTGTTATACTTCGGTTTAAAGAGATCCTTGCAAAGTGTATTTCGAAGTTATTTTTTACTGCACTTGATAGCAATTTCTCGCTTATATTCACCTGGTTAACTTTCTCCGATAAGGACTTGGATCGACATATATGTGTTAAGTTGTGAGTAGTTTACGACTGACTGACCGCAGACGAGGTGATACTGCTTTGTTTACATCGGTGAAGTGGTGTCAAAATATGAAATTAAGGTCGAGTACAAACGTCATAAAGCTGAAACTCTGACCTGGATGTTAACCAGATAAGGAATGGAGAGAATATTCATTCTAAAAAACTAGTTACAAAGTTATGAAATAGGAGTTTGTAGTGTCAAAGGAATGTAAGCCTGCAAATGATTTCCATAATCTAATCAGTGAGCCTGAAAATATATTACAAAGGAGCGGCAAAGTTCCCAAATGTTTCTACGTCAGTTTGTTGTAGAACAATAGGTGATCTTGCGCACGACTCGAAAAAAGGAAGTGATTTTTTACGTTTTGAGATGTTAGATTTCTGTTATGCTTATCGTAGCAGAAGTTAGATTCAAACTTATATTTAGGGCTTCTAGAGATGTTTGAGTCTGTAAAATACTTTTTCATAAGATTTTCATTTCATTTTACACTAGTTGAATTATTTTTTCGTGTTTGTGTATTCGTATCGACTGTTCTCCCGTTTTTTTTATAGAGTTGCGTCTGTTAAGGTTTTTGACGTTTCGGTGCTTCAACTGCCACTAGTTAGTCACCATTTCTGTACACCTTCATAGCTACATTAGTAACGTTATTGTTTTCCCACACTTTGTGACCAGCACTTCTGTAACTTTTTCTTGTTCTCTCTACATCATACTGATTAAAATTGTCATTTATATTCATCGATGTGGTCGGCCATTATATCTTTACTCTGTTGAGGATGGCATGGAGTGTGACAGCAGTAAGAAGTGATTCGTAAAATGTGTACCAATCTATTACCGGCCTCATATAAACGTTCCAGCATACTGGCTTTACTTTGGTTATGTAGAGAACGTTGCTTAACTAAGGCGATTCTCCTAGATGAAATCTTGGAGCTCCCCATTCTGACGAAGACGCCAAGCGACGATGCTTGCTTACTAAGTTTGACATCGGACGACAAGGAATCTACAAATGCAATAGTTAGTGTTGTCGGCTTACCTCTTATTCCTGATGTAAGAGCTGAGACTACCATTTTAGACACGCCAGAAGGAGATAAAACCTCTGTCCAAACTACGATCAAGCACAATCTCTAAAAACCTCGCACTGTCAAGAAAACGTAACTACCACTCATCGACAGTGCGCTTACCACAAACACTGCTGATGAGGTAAGTGCAACCATAAGATTCGTAGGGAGCAAAAATCTCTCCCAAGGCAAATTGGATATTATAAATGAATGTACTACTCCAAAAGTCAAAACAAAAAGGAAAATTAAAGAAAAGCTTCCGATACGTAGTTAGGAGAGAACGGTTGAAACACGAATGAAAGCCGTGAATATGACATTCAATGAAGTCAAGTCCGTCTCGAGTTTAATTATTTGGAATCTGAAGTCAAAAAACAATGAGTCTGTTAGACGGTATGCGCATAATCTGCAGTTGGTAGAATCTGCTATCAGAAACGTACTACCAGAAGAGGTTTCGGGAGTACAAATAACTATTGTAAAAAGACTCGTTAAATAGGTTGGAGGCGATGCCCAACCAAAAGAGGACGTTAGTCAGTACTCGGAAATAACAAGGAAAGAGAATTGATACCAAATAACGCATACAAAATCCGTTACTCGAATATTTGTATTTGGTCATATTGGTCACTTGAGGACTGCTGTTACTGAGTTGAAAACTCGAAAGTAAAACGGTGAAACAAACCTTGAAATTTAGGTTTACGGGTAGTTGTCTTAAAAGACAATGCTTCCGAGACCTAGATAGGCGTGATTCTCCAAACACCTTAGATGTGTGTACACAAACGCTCGTAGTCCTAGAAGTAAATCGTCCGACCTAAACATACTGGCTTTTCCCTAACTCATATATAGACGTTGAGTAAGGTTGGTTGCTATCTTATCGTTGGGAATTTCAACGCGCCACATATTATTTGGATAGAGCTTATAGCTTCAGGTGAATGTTTGAACGGCAGCCCACTATCAACTATTATTTAGTGAGTACTTGTATAGTGTATCGCAAAAGCGACATATATTGGCTTAGAATATGAATCGTCGTAGTTGGAATTTTTCTTCAAACCACACATATGATGTTACCGACGTTCAGTACCTAACCCCACCGGCAAACAGCGATCACCTTGTATTGTAGTTCAAGTTTCGGAAACAATGTACAGTATGAATCTACTGTACATCATCCCAATATCTGGCTAGCCAACATTCAGGCAATCGGAGTGTGTGGTCTCAATAAATTGATCAGTCAATGCAGATAAGTAGAATGAAAATGAATAGAGTGATTTTAAATCCATATTCGAGGCCGTACAAACACCGTACACCCCATGGTCAACGTAAAAGCCGGAATATACATCAAATAATTATAGCTAAATGACTCGTTACATAAGAAAGACAGTTGGTGCACGATGGCTGTACTTGACAAAAACAATTGTTTTCTTACATTACACAGTAGTTAAGATGTTTGGGAAAATAATTCGTGTTAAGTTACCAAGTCACGCAGAATCATATAATCTGTCAACGGCTGAGCAACGCAGGAGTGTCACATAGGACAATCCTAGCTCCCTTATTTTTCTACTCTCCATTGAATCACCAAGACTGCTTAAATCATCTACACTCGTTTGCAGATGATGTTAAAATATAGAGGAAAATAAGTAGTCAGACTGGTTATTTTGATTTCCAAACTGATCTAGACGGACTGATTTCATAATCCCAAAGTCCAGGTTTGGAAATTAATCTTAGAAAGCGTGCTAGTGTACACTGGACACGGCATTGGTTACTAGTATACTACAAACTGCACGTCGCTTTCATTAATGCAGAAAAAATAGTAGTAGTAAGTTGTGTATCGAGAACAATTGCAGCAAAAGATTTTGAATTTTTTGGTCATATCATCTAGTATTCTAGTGCCTTGATGAAAACATATTTCGGGTTTTATATTTAGACTATGAGGCCTCACTTAGAGAATTGCAGCCAAGTAGTAATTCCTACTCATATTAGGAATCCTATCACACTCAGTGGATAGGACACACATTGAGGAAAGCACCCACCTGCAAGCCCCCACTTGGAATCCTCAAAATTACAGGAAAAGAGGAAGACCACAGAACATATTAAACCGAGAAATGGAGACAGACATGAGAAGAATGAACAACAATTGGATAGAACTAGAAAGGAAGGCCCAGGACAGAGTGGGTTGTAGAATGCTGGTCGGCGGCCTATGCTCCATTGGGAATAACAGGCATAGGTACGTAAGTAATCATACTCGAGCATTTAACGTGTGAGAATTAAGTTAGTGACTGATCATTCTAAACTCTCCTGTGATAAGCGTTTAAGACGTTTAGACCTTTAACCCTTATCTTATTGTAGAACTCGACACAACCTCATATTGACGCTCCGATTTCTGCGTTAACATGTCTTAGCCTTTGTTTCCGACAGGACCAATCATTTGGGCAATTGAAAAGTTTCGTAAACGGCAGCTGGATAAACTCAGAGTCGGATCTTGTTCTTATCGAGCAGTCAGTGACTGAAATATCCTACTCGAACAAGTGGTATCGACTCGATCAGTGAACACTTCTATGGAGAGGCTAGTTTTTCACTTGAAGACAAGTTGGAGGGATGAACACAGGTAAAGCGACCTATCATTGTTATTACTAAAGACTGAAATAATGAGTAATGTCGTTTAGTTTGACTGCATCGATTGGGACTGATCGAGGCCGTAAGATACAAATAAAAAACACGATAAAACCATATTGATCCGTGCAATTCAGTTTTCGTTAATTTGACCATAATCCTGATTGCAGGAAAAAACTGTGAGAGCGTTAAGTGATTCCTGAGATATGACGTGTTTTAGTTGAGTGTGTCAACTGAGATTGAAATACTTGGCGGATATTCTCACATTAGTCTCAAACCAGGCGATTTTCCTGTCTACTGATAACCACTTTAAGCCAGATTGTTAATAATATGAAGTTATCTTAGTCATTTGTCTTTGCGATTGTCAGTCATTTCTGTAACAACCACGTAAACTTAGTGAAAACATCAACTGTTCTATAGCTGGATCTTAGTATGAGAACGCAAATAAGTCTTATTGATAAAAATACACGAAAAACTTGAAGTGAACCTTCTCACCATAATGTAACAACGCAAGGAGTCATGGGATTATGGGAATGAGTAGGGCGTGACAGTCCAAAGTCTGCTATTTTGACAAGACCCTTGTCATTCATTAACAGGTTGGAGACTTTTAAGTCCCTGTGGATTATAAAGTTTTCATGAAGATATCTCAGACCTTTGAAAATCTGAAGCATGATGCATTTAACCTACAGTACAAATTAGGATTTTAACCACACATTACCTGAGACTCGGTGAAAGGATTAGGCATGTTATCAAGTAAACTTGCCATATCCTGTTCACAATACTCCATAACAAGGAAGATACTGAAAATGATCGATATCACTAGAACATACCTATCTAAGCTCCTCCCAACAACGACTTCTCTCAGGTGAACAACATTCGGGTGCTTTATACTTAGCAACAAAGTGATTTCGCGCAAACTGCTAATAGGGATACCTGTTGTACATAACTCAAGAGTGAGGAAAACTTGCCATCTCGAACATTTTCCATTCGAACTTTCTTCAGAGCCACAACCTCTTTTGACACAGTATCACGAGCACGGTCTAAGTTATTAGCTAAATTTTCATACTTACAGACAATACCATATGTCCCTTCACCTATGCGGTTTAGCTTTTCGAATTCAGCAACACTACGACATCTACCCTCCTAGAAGATGTGATACCGCTCGCAAACTTACTCTAAATTCCGACGGTATCTTAAAGTATGAAAGTCTCTTGACACTGAAAATTCTGAAATCCCTCGAGTCTGAATCAGATTCACGAACAGCAGATCGTGTAGCACACATATTGCAACTAGCGCTCCAAACTCCAATTCCCAATATCTTTCCCACAATCTTCTGCTAATTAATTGAGTTCATTGTGCCTTTTTATTATTGTTTCGGTTCAGTTCCATGTATTCGTCAGTATTCAACTGTGGTAGCCAGATGTTCTTCAGTCGTAAATATGCTGATCTTGCTTCACCGATCCACACCTTCATATCTGCATGGGATCCAAAGAGTTTATCAATGATGCTGTACAGATATGTGGGGGTTTTTACATCTTCCAAGGCTTCTCCGTCAAGTATGATTTGATTGGTGCATGTTGTATTGTATCGGAGAATATTTCTTTTGTTTTTGTGTACGTTGAGACCTACTTCCGCTACACTGGTCTTTTTCTCTTGCATTTATTGTCGCGTGTGCGATAGAAGAGCCAGATCATCTGCGAAGCCTAGATCGTCCGGCTGTATCTTAGCCGTCTATTATATCCCATGCTTCCCTCCAGATGCTGACATCTTCGTTATATAGTCGATCACCAGGAAAAAGAGAAAGAATAAGAGTATGAAACCTTGTCTGACTCCGGTTTTTACCTCGAACGAGTCTGTCAGCTGTCCTTTACGCACTATTTCGCAGTGGAATCTGTGGTGCCATTGGGTTCCAATCACACAATCCTCAAAGCTAAACAGAAAACACTTAGGAAAATAGATGTTCAACATTTAAGGCAGAGAAAAACCTAACGATGGAGAAGATGGGAACAATGAATTGAATTAATTCGAATTGATCGGATGGCACAGCTCGGCCTTGTAGGCATAGTCCCTGTTGAATGTTATTTTTTATTCGTATTAAGGATATTGTTCTATCTCTAGCCTGAGCTTTTTCTCCATCATGAATTAGTGGTTGTTACGGTGCAATGAGTTGTAGACGATGATGTGGCTTCCATGTAAGATCTTATAGATCGGGCAGTTATATCAATGACAAATCTACCATTTTAGGATTCGGTCTATTATTAGAGCGGTACTCATGACGAAGTAGACTATAATTCTACAAATCCATCATGGGAATGCCGTATGATATTGACTATCTTTTCAGTCTCGCCATAGTGTCGAAGAAGCCTTCAAAGTGTTGTCCATTCCTCGCTATCAAATGCTTTCTCGTGTTCAATGAAATTTAAGTAGAGTGATGAATCCCACTCAAATAATTGTTCCAAAATGATCCATAGTGTTGCGATTTGGTCCATACACGATCGATCCTTACGGAATCAGGCCTGTTGCTCTCGAATTTGGGCATCTGCGGTGTCCTTCATTCACTTTAGCGAGACCCCGTTGAAAACTTTTCGTGGTATTGAGAGAGGAGTGGTGCCTCTGATCTAAGGGGGGAATGATGATCCATGGGTGAGTACGTGTTTTTCGATTCTCCTCTTGAAGCTACTCAAAGAAGGACTGTGGTCACTTCGGCTGGGAGGGTGTTTCAAATAGAGGCAACTCTGAGTGAGAATAAATGAAGGCGTATGCGTGTATTTGCTATTTGATGTGCAATCATTCGAGGGTTTTCTCAAGGAGTGTGGCGATGATGTTTTGGTAATATCTCATGTTCGGATGGCTTGGCGTACATAATATGTTGTATGCTATTGTCGGATCTCCCTTTCGTCTCCTGTAGCTCAACAAGAGTAATCCCATGTGTTGAAGTCTTTCCTTTAGGATATGGATCTATCACTCACTTGGTTGCCCGCCTCTGTGCTTGGTTTAAGAGATTTACACCTCTCTTTTTAAAGAGTGTACGCGATGATATTGCGGACTTCGAGGTGAGACTGCATATGTTTTCAGCAGTGTTGGGAACAACCCTGAGGTGGTTGCCCCAAATTGTCTACACATGAACTGGAGAGCTGCGTCTGACTTGTCTGCATCCTCTGTGCAATTCGGACCGTTGTCTAAGTTCTCGGTAGTTACAATCCAGAGATCACTCTCTAAGGAGACAATCTAAAACGGACTTCCAAGTAGGCTTTAAGTGCTTCGTGCCAAATGAGGCAGAATGTTTATGATATGACATTTCGACAAGTTAAATTTTAACCCGTTGTCTACTGTTCACTCCTCTATTGTAGTGTGGTCCTTTAGAAGCTCAAGTGGATCTTTTTGACTTCTTGTGAACCCCCAGTTTCTTGCATCATCTGCATAGGTCAGTGCCACAGAACTAATTTCATCTAACAGGTTATTGATAAAAATCGAGTACAGGAGTGGTCTAGCGTTCTCATGTTACTAGTAGATTGAACCTACATGATTTTTTTTCCTGAACCCGTGTTAAACCTAATAGAGAATGCTGTTTTTATCCATACATTGCCTCATCTGTTTGTTGAGCAATCCTTCTGTTACTTTTGACAGTACTGGAAGTCATACGACTGGTCTGCAACAGGCTAGGTTTATCTGTGATCACCTTTGAAGGCTGAAGAGAGATCTGTTTGTCTCTATTCTTTTGTAAGTGGGCGTGAATCTAGTGAATGCCTGAAAATCTCACACATTGGTATTCTGATAGCTTCCACAGACTGTTTCAGGATTTCAGGCTGGGTGTTATCAAATACTGGTGACTTTCCTGGATGCTGGGATTTCTATAATACTAGACCGAGAGTTGGTTGGATTTTTCTCAAACCATCAAGTGGCACTAGGGTTGAGAGGAGTTTTGCACCTTCAGGCTGCAAGTTCATTTGGACTACAGAGTTGACAACGTAGGCTTCTTTATCCCTGTTAATGATCTTCGGAAACTGCTCCCTTGGTTGCAGATCCCTTGGTTTGTGAAGATATTTGGAGTGGGTTTAGCCTGAAAACATCTTTCTCTGTGGACTTTGACAGTGCTTCTATTTCTTAGTGCTAAGTAAGAGTCGCGACCCGTATTAGGTGTTTCGTACTTCACTTGACCCAGGGTATTTGCTTTCTGGGTGCGTGCTTACCATGGGGTAGATTGTTTTAGACCGCACCCAAAGTGACATCCTCCACCACCTCCCAGTGGTCATTCACTTTTAATCTCCTCCACTGTTGTAGCCATAAGAGTGTTCAAGATCCTTCATCATGATCATGTGGTTTTCTTCTGTATGGCTACAAAGGGAGCATCCTCGTTTCCCCAAAAGTCTTGTATGTGGTAGCGTTAGTACTTGCCGAATCATAGTAACCGCTGCACATTGGTACGCGGAAATGGATATCCTCGAATGGAAACTGATCATCTGTCAGCGAACGGACTCACAGTTTCCAAATTCATGCCCACCACAACGCATTTGCTTGTAACACCTTCATATTAAAAGTATGTCAATCAGATCAAATCAGAAGTCGAAACGGAGATGGCCGTAAGTATGTTCGGAAAGCTATCTATATGTCGAAAAGCATTCTGTCTTAGCTGGTTAACGGTCGTAAAGGATGAGTAGCACGGCGTACTCACTAATGATCTGGTGAAAATGTGTGACCGAGAACACTCGGATAGGTATTTATAGTAAAGTTAATTAAGTCAGAATCAACGGAAAAGACTCAGAGAACAAATTATTTGATTAGTAAACGCGCGCTTTTCGAACAGGAAGTTTAGTCCTAACGTGATTTGCATTTATCAAACTTTTGCTGTGCTCTTACGCAACAAAAGTACCATTTCAGTTCTAAAGAATCTATCCTGAGCTATACGTTCGGTAGATTACTTTTTTTAGTCTCACCATATTTAATAGTAAACTGTGGTTTCGCCTCAGCTTACTATTCGGTTTTTTTGTTTTTCACGTAAAGACTAATTCAGTTTATATCACTCGTTTTTATCCATTTTTGTCCGTTTTCAATGTGCTTTTTAGTATTTTTACGGTCTTAGGCTTTTGTAAGCATCTATTACACAGTTTGCTTCAACATAGTCATGAAAAACTCATGCAAACGTCCGGGCCGTTTTGCTGTTACAACTGGCATGCAGTGCGACAACTGCAAAGGTTGGTTCCACAAAGCGTGCACAGCCCTGACGGCAACTGCTTACAACAGACTCAGCAAGTCGGACCAAAAGTGGGTATGTATCACGTGCAGCACGGCCGCTGTAGTCTTACTGAGTAACATCATCGTCCTACTGTCAGGTCTGCGGAACAATTTGTCAGCAAACTTGAATAACGACAGTAAAAAAACGGGTAAACAAACAAGAGCGCACGATGAACACAAGATTAGGGATGTCGATGGGTATGCCATCGATGGAGCATCCATTAGCACTAACGATGACGTATTGAAGCTCAGAACCATCATTACGTCGATGGTATTAGACTCCCTAAGTGAACTCGGGTCTCCCAGCTTAGGGTCTCTGAATACAACAGTGGTTCCCGAAAACCCTGTAAGTGATTCTACCCACCTTAGCAGGGCTCAAAAGAACCAGGTGTTACCACCTAAGCTGAGCATCCCAAATGTCGTTGTACGGAAAACAACTGGTGATTTGGTCGCACAGTCTACCCCAAAGAATGTTCGTCAGGTCATCAAAGAGCCCAAGATTCAAGAACGTGCCTTGACCTCCAAACAAAAAGGTATTAAAGCTGAACCCATCGGAAAACCTGGTAAATTAACAACGGTTCGTGACGATTCTCTCATAATCATGAGGCTCATTGACAATCCTGACCTTCCTCTCAGTTTGCAGGATGAAAATGATAGGATGCCCTGGAGTGAACTGAACAAGAAGCTCGAACTTCCTAGAATAGAGCCTTTGACGGTCACCCGGCTCACTCGAGGAAAGGATTCTAAGCATCTAAATCACCCGAGGCTTCGAGTAACAATTGCTAGCAAGTCACTTGCTGAAATCCGATGGCAATGTAAGGATATTGCCCGACATACCGTACTCTGAGCGCAATATCATGCGGAACATCCCTAAAGAATCTCGCGAGAAGTTTATCCGACGGAGAAACATAATTGTGCAAGGTATACCGGAAAATACGAGCCCTACTCAATCAAACTCTTACATCAGGGAATTGAAATTCATCAAACAGTCCTTGAGACTCAAAAACATACTGACTCAGCATGTGACGAGACTAGCCAAGAAGGATCGTG